CTTACAAAGAACTCTTTTGTTAAAATAAAATATTTTCTTTGTAAACCTATTTCAGTACGTTTTTAGTCCTTTATTAAATTCTCAAAAATCATAGCCTTAATATCTCAGTCTCCCGAAATGTACTTACCTAATAAAAGTACAAATTAGGTCCGCCTTTTTATATCTTTTTTAAGAACTGCCATAAGGTTTACAGGAAACATCATCATAAAACATGACCATAATGAAGTAAAAGTCCTCCAAATGGAAACAAAAAGTGCTCCTAAGGCCATTTATTTTTTATTAAAGAAACTCACATTGAAAGAATATATCCTTAGAATGAGTGACGAGCACTCAGACCTCAATGTTGACTTACTACAGTTCATTCATTCCGACTCCCCGATACTATGATGTATTGTACTATTAATCACGCAGACTTCACTGAGCGGTAAAAAATATATTCGAAGAAACAAATCCTGTCGTTCAAAGATTTATTTTTCTTCCAAATACCAAAGAAAATTTGAGAGAAAGAAAGAAAAGTTCTTCTTTCTTCAAAGACAATGTAAATTTAGAGAGCTTTATAGTCCTCAAAAGGAATAATTGGTAACAAAAAGCTCTGAATAAATTAATAAAATGAATGTATATTAAGTATGTGAGCTAAAATGCAGTTCAGATTATTTGAGCTAACATTCGTGAACACAATACACTGTACGTCATGCAGTTTAAAGCCAGTTATGTAGTGGAACAAACGCACTGTGTTGTTCTAATGGCATATTTTGTCAGTATAATAATGTTATTCGCGCACAGAGGCCATAAACACGCCTCTTAATATCGGCCATCTAATGTACCGTAAAATGACGGTTATTCTGTACGAAAACAAGCGGGAAAGGAATAAAAATAAAGTTTATAATCACATCAGAAAACCATTCCTGTATTAACTCATTGACAAACAATGAAGATGAGAAACAAGAGAGTTAAAAATAGTATACATATAAAAAAATCTTCATTACCAAAAACAACGACTTAAAATAAGTTCTCTGCTGCAAATTGTATTATATTTTTTATAAAGCCCGTGATTGATTCATGGATCCTTTTAACCAGTGGCTGTGAAGTCGAATGAGACTAATGTAATCCATCCATCCCCGTCCATTCCATTCATCTGTTGCGTTCACTCAATGGATGACCAAATACATACATACACACATACACACACACGCACACACACATACACACATACACACACTCATACATATATATATTACAGGAGCAAGTTTAATTAAAAGAAATGCATTTGAGTATCGAGATTTGTATTTATAAAGGAAGGGAAACAGATTTCATTATATTTACATATTAAAGAGATTTGTTAGAAATAACATACAAGTTGATTATATTTATTTCATTCTGTAGTTTCATATTCATCACGCTGTAATTTATCTAGTGTACATGTAGTACCAGTAATTATGACCTTACCAAAAAATAATTAGATATAAGTGTTTGTGGTAATGTTACAAATATCATAGTCGGTTTGAATATTACATTTTATTGCTCCTTAAAAGTTAGAGACTAATAACCACTGGAAGGAGAAAAACATAAAAGTTATTTAAATATTTTTTCATAGCTTTTTTAGTGATTCGACTAAATGAAGCCATCTCTAAGATATCAGTTTTGGTGCTAAAATAGTCTTATTTAATGGTTAAAATGTAGAAACAAAACACATTAAACTCTTTTGACACACCATGTGAAGGGAAACGGAAACAATAAAGTGCCTTGTCCATCCAAAACACGCGCGAGTTACAAACACAACAACATCACTGTACCTAGTATATACGCTATATAACTAAAATCTAAATTGCTGTAGTTCACAAAGTTGAAACTTTAGAGAAAAATATTTTGTCATCGACAAATCTATTTATCTAAAAATTTGTATTTTTCCAACAGCATTCGCTTCTGAGGTATCAATTAATATTAATAACTCTATCTATATTTTGTAAAAGTTACCTGAAATATTTTTATGCTATAAATTATAATGTATGTATATTCAAACTAAATTAAGGACTTCAACTATTAAGCAAGAGAAACCTACTATAACAAGTGTCCATAATTCTATTTTTATATTGCACTTAGGTACGTATTTATTTTAATTTCGTAGTAACAAATGATTCTTTGAGAATTTCTAATATACATAGAGTTTTGAGACAACATATTCTATATGTTACAGAAATTCTTCATATATTTAAAGAAATAATCAAAATTTACTCCACCGAAACCAGTTTAACGTGCAGTCTTCACTCTTCATTATGCAATTATGTAGTGAGCTCCTAATTGCCTCGCTGCAGTATAATATACGAGTATAAACCCAAATTTAGTTTTATTAGCGTTATAAATTTTGCTCAGACTGCATTACTTGAAAGACGCTCATCATATAACTAAGACGTCTATTTAACTGAAATCTCAATGAACGAAAATTATGTACATCTTTTTTAATCAGTGGCCCCCAACCAGTGGTCCGGGGGATTAAAAATAAAGTGGTCAGCGAACGAAATAAAACTCTTTTAATTTTTTTTAATGTTTTAGTAACTTTTTTGTAGATACAAAATACATTGAGTGTTTCATTAAAGTTTATTTTCTTAGTGATTCACTTTATTCTTCTTTTACATCGTGATCCATTACGAACAACAATAACTAACGAATACAAAGTGGTCCCTGGTCAAGAAGAGGTTGGGAGCCACTGTTTTAAATTGACAAATATTTAAACCATCTTACTAATAACAGTTTAACGCATAATCTAGTCTTATTTTCAAAATTCTTCATACATTTCATCAACTTCGATACCCTATGATTTTTATTCATTCCAACCGCGTGAAGACTACATAGTCTTTAATCACATAGACGTGTTTAAAACGAGAAGCAGATGACACAGTATGTGAGGATGACAAAAATGTCTGTTGAAGGTGTATTAAGTAAGCTCGTATAACGTGTGGGAAATAATCCATTACAATAAATCAGTGTCACCTCTAGTACGTCGATAAACTATGTTACTTATACTATAAGTTCGTTTCATTGTACAGAAAAATATACTAGTTTCTAGTTTTTTTTTTTATTCAAGAGATGGACGAGTCAAAAGACTTTACTCGTTTGATAAATTACTTACTTATCTATTATTTAAAAAAAGTAATAGGTATGTAAATATTTTAATAAGTATATTCGCTTACGGTTAATACTTTATTAATCAAACGTGTTTTAGAAAAAAGGCTATTAAATTGATGTGAGTACATTTCACAGAATATTACTTCAGATTTTAATTGAAATAGTATAAATTTTATTTTTGAATAATTTATATAATTAAATATAAATCACACAGAGGTAAAAATCTATATAAATAAAAATGAATTGCTGTTCCTTGGTATCACTAAAACTCGAGAACGACTGAACGGATTTATCTTATCATAGTCTTGAAATGTTCGTGGAGGTTCAGGGAAGGTTTAAAAGCTGAAAATTTTTATTAATTTCAAGGAAAACCCTAAAAACAGCGCTTTTTTATTTCCCATACAAACGGTTTTTTGACATTAGATTTGACAACTAACTAATATGTCAATCATTTTGTCGCACTTCAGAACACTGAGATTTATGGCTTAAACACCAAAAAATAAATAAGACATAATTTATCTCTTCATTGAGGCAGTACGAAGTCTGCCGGGTCAACTAGTCTTCTATATATATAAAAATAGATTGCTGTTCCTTAGTCTCGCTAAAACTTGATCACAGCTGAACGGATTTATCTTATCTTAGTCTCGAAATGTTCGTGGAGGTTCAGGGAAGGTATAAAAGATTAAAAAATTGATTAATTACTGAGAAAACCATAAAACCGGCCCTTTTCTATAGCCCATACAAACGTTTTTTTTTGACATTAGTATTGACAACTAACTAATATGTCAATCATTCTGTCGCATTTCAAAACACGGAGATTTATGGCTTAAAGGTAAACTCCAAAAATATAAATAAAAAAACGTATGAGATATTTCTTGATTATAGGGCGATACGAAGTTCGCCAGGTCTTCTAGTATATAATACAATATTATTAATATTATGTATCTACAATATCAACACAAAGTAAGTATCTACAATTCCTGCTAAAAAATCGTGAGCAATAACGCCGGGGTTCAGAATGCGGTGAAGAAAGGGTCAGTGCAAAACAAATTACTGAAAATGCAACGATTAAATTTATAATCGAAATAAAACAGGCAGGTTTGAATAATTCTTCATTGTCAATATCTTGTGCTCTTAGTTAAGTTATACTTAGGATACTGGATATATATTATATTTTACCAATCCCATCGAATATTAAAATATTGTTTTTTAATTTAGGTACTGATAAGGCCATAGCATCAAAATTGTGATAATAACTTAGTGCAAAAAATAGTAACATCTGAATGAAACAGATAATAACCAGAAAATCCTTTTACTTATAGCTAGAACATTAGCTAATGGCTAAATCTTAAAAAAATTATTACATAAGTAAAAAATGTGTCACGGTTTTTAACTACTATAAACACTTTAATCTGGAGAATACGGAAAGATTTAATATTTGACACCAAGCCTAGCTTGCAATATAGGTTTAATTATTTTTTTGACGATACATAGAAAAATATGTACGGTTCAAAACTACATATAAGGTTATTATAATCACAATATGTAGTATTAATGTGATAGTAATCAGCTTATACCATTTTCTTATATAGAAAATAATTATTTTTATAAAATAGATCTTACAACATCTTAGTAAAGTAAAATATTCATTAAAGTTCTATGACAGTATTTTAAATCTACTTCTATAATTGTAGACGGAACGTCAACGCGTGATATACTCGCCACGAGATGTCAAACATTAAAACTATTGTCAAAGTCAAGCGTACCGCCTGCAATGGTGAAGCGTCGTGTTTGTGACTGCTAATAATTACAAAATTGTAATTACGTTTTATAATTGTTATAGTTGAATAAGGACAAGTTTATTTAGGAAAATCAATATGTTGGTGCTATTCGAGACGCCGGCGGGATACGCTATATTTAAGGTGAGTGATAACACGTGTTGATTATAACCTACAAATAAAACAAGCATTTCTGTAAACTTTAGTTAATTCTCACAAACGAGTATGAATAACTTTTCTATATTAAGGTTTTACTAAGTAATATTATTTTAATTTATTAATATTTTGAAATAGAACATTGATTTCATTGTTTTTATTTTTTCTTCATTGTACGTTGGTGTGGTATAATCTCATGATCACTGTTTTCAAGGAATCTCTCTCGTGCCATTGAAATTTGTAAAGTTATTGAGTTTTTCCACGTGTTGTTACATTACAACCCTGACTTGTCCACATTTGCCTATTGTAGTTTATTTCATGATATTCTTATGATTTCATTCCATGGTCTTACTTGAAATATAATTTATTTATGTTATAGGATTATCTGTGTATGCAAGCATTTATCTAAATTTCTATTATTGTACTATTAAAACACTGCATTATCTTAATAAAATAATATATTTGTTTGTTTATAAATTCAACATAACCTCCATTCATTAAAAATATAGTAACATATAAGGTCTGAAATTATCACCATATTCAATTTGGAGATATTTCTCTTGTGAATTGGTATAACTTATTTATTTTAACTATCAACTGTAAAGAGGACAACAGTATTTTTTAATGTGTGATAGCCAAAAGTTTTTATTTGGTACATAATATTTATAAAGAAGGCATGTTTAATGTATATATTGTGTCATGTGGTCATGTTGTTAATTGAAAAGATTTTTATTCTATTTGAATAATGTCTTGTTACAATTAATAGGTAGCTTGGGTTAAGAGTACTGCGTTTCATATATGCACCAGTTTTTGTTAGTGACTTCATCATGTCAGTTTCAGTAGTAAACTCTATTTCTAAGACTGTGCATAGACAGATTTTGGATTTTATTAAGTGCTTTTTATATTATAAATATATCCTAAGTCTGTCTCCTTGTACTAATATAACAATCAATTTAAAAAAAATGTATAAAAGGAATTTTTGTACCTGTTTTATGTATATTTGTCTTATCAGTATAGTAAACTCAGTTCTCTTATTAAAGACTATTTTAATACTTGTTCCTAACCAACAAAACATATTCACAATGTTCAGTGAGGAGTATGTTTTATATTTTTGGAATCTAGTATCATGTCCATAAAGTGAAAGAAATGACCTTTGAATTTGTAAAAATTGGAAAGTTTTTATGTGGACATTTAGAAATTTCTTAATAAATCATAACTAATGAGATCTAAGACTTTCCGAAGCATTGAAATAAAACAAATATTTTCAGATAACTATTCATTATTTTAATATTTTAAAACAACACACTCCCGACATTTCAGTTACTTTTTGGCAAGTGTGATCACAAGCAGACAAGATGATAATGACAATTGAAGATATTAGTTTTATTTAAATCATAAAGTGAATCTAACACAATAACCATTGAATTTTATATAGTATAAAGTTTGTTTGTTCTTCTTGTTAAGGGTACAGGAGCAATTAATTATATTATTTTATGTATTCTTTTGTTACAGTTACTGGACGAGTCAAAATTATCACAAATAGATGATCTGTACCAGGAGTTCAACACACCTGAAGGGGCTTCCTCTGTGTAAGACATTCGATATTCTAGATTCATACTGTAACAGTTGTCGTAATATAATAATGTTTATAATTTCTTCTCATAGGAATGATATTTTTTGTATGTAACTAGCTAGTTATAGAGCTCATGGTATCCATTTTCGTTTTGTCAATCTTTCAGTAAACTTAATTAAGTTAGCAACTTTGTTAAAATACTTTTTATAAGTACTTTTATACTTAATATATAGAAAATACTTTTTATACTTAATATTATCATTTCCACAGTTTTAATTTTTCTTCTCTTCTCTTCTTTCGTTTTGTTTTTTTTTTTTTATTATTATTATATTTATGATTTTTGGTTTGCAGTGTGAAACTGAAGAACTTTATTAAATTCGAAGACACTACGGAAGCTTTGGCAGCAACAACCGCCGCTATTGAAGGCAAGCTTTCAAAGACATTGAAGAAAGGTTTGAAGAAGCATGTGCTCAAAGATGTTCAGGATCAACTGCTAGTTGGGGATGCCAAGCTAGGTAGTGCCATCAAAGAGAAGTTTGACTTACAATGTGTATCAAATTCAAATGTACAAGAATTGTTGAGATGTATCCGTTCCCAAATGGACAGTTTGTTGACGGGCCTGCCCAAGAAAGAAATGACAGCTATGGCTTTAGGTCTTGCACATTCACTGTCCAGATATAAACTGAAATTCTCTCCGGACAAGATTGATACTATGATAGTACAAGCTCAATGTCTATTGGACGATTTAGATAAGGAATTGAACAACTACGTCATGAGGTGCCGGGAATGGTACGGCTGGCACTTCCCGGAGCTCGGGAAGATTATAACAGATAATACTTTATTCGTGAAGATCGTTAAGGTCATGGGTACCCGAGATCACGCGGCCACGACTGATCTGTCGGACATACTACCAGAAGATTTGGAAGAGAAAGTCAAAGAAGCAGCCGAGATATCCATGGGGACAGAGATCTCTGACGACGACATTATTAATATACAGAACTTGTGTGACGAGATCATATCTATCACGGACTATAGAGCACACTTGACGGACTATTTAAAGGCGAGGATGATGGCCATGGCGCCGAACTTGACAGTTCTGATCGGGGAACATATAGGAGCTAGATTAATAGCCCACGCTGGTTCGTTAATGAATCTAGCTAAACACCCAGCTTCCACTGTGCAAATATTCGGTGCTGAGAAGGCTTTGTTCAGAGCTTTGAAGACTAAGAAGGATACTCCAAAGTACGGTCTTATATACCACGCTCAGCTGATTGGACAATGTAGTACCAAAAACAAGGGCAAAATGTCGAGAATGTTGGCGGCCAAGGCGGCGCTGGCGACACGTGTGGACGCCTTCGGTGATGATGTGACATTCGAGTTGGGAGCGAAACATAAAGTGAATCTTGAGAATAAGCTGCGGTTACTAGAAGAAGGCAACTTGAGGAGAATCAGTGGCACTGGCAAGGCTAAGGCCAAGTTTGAGAAATACCACAGTAAATCGTGAGTTATACTTTATTTACTTGAAATATTTTAAAGTTTTTACCTCAGAGCTAGCAGAGATCAATGACATAGAGCTAATATTATTTCGCGGAGACAAAGATTTAGATATTTTCGGTAATATGAAAAAATTTAAAACTAAAATATTATTTATAAATACTCACAATTGTTTAGTTTAGATAGGTTACTTATTTTATTATCTTTATTTTTAATTATTGTTGTTTATTATTTAATTAGCTTTTTTAACTTCTGTTTGTTGTCACTTAACTTTTATTTTATGCATGCTGTTATCACCTTTAAGTAAGATACCACTACAGTCTTATTTTTTATCTGGAATGTTTTTATTGTGTATTTTGTTGGTGATCTAATATAACAAATGAATAAATATTGTTATACAGGGAAGTGTTCTCATACCCGACGGCAGCTGACAGCACCTTGAAGGGTGTGAAGAGAGAACACGAGCCGGAGGAAGAAACCGCACCAACCAAGAAGATGAAGCTAGAGAACGATGTGAGTAGAAACACTTGACATTAGTAGGAAACATACTACTAGTATAATTTTATTATCACAACTACTTACAATACTGTAAGATTTCACTTTCATTCTGTTGTTGAGTATATCTGTTTACAATATTTAAATAGTTTCCATCAACAATTAACTTCCAAAGGCTTTTGAAAGGTATTACATCATTACATTGGTAATATGTATGTCAATTGAATGATATTCAACTTATCTGTAGAAACTTGCTTGTGACCCCTAGCTGTCCTTAATATTAGTTACTAATAAAGAACGAGAAGTAATTGTACTTCTATGGAAGAAAACCTATATTGGAAATAAGTAAGAATTTAAAATATTTAACGTACGTAAATTATTCTTGAAAACCAAGTATCATACATATCAATATAGTATGGCACGCATTTCAAAAATAACAACCAATTATTTTTTGTCCACTTGATATGGGATTCCTGTTGAATATTTGCTGAAAAATAAATATACAAGCAAAATCTTTATTATTTATAACAACTTTAAAATAAAGTTTCTTTTTTGTTAAGTACTTTCTGTTGTAGTTATTATTTCTTTGACATAGATGATACATAGCGACATAAAAAATAATGTAACCAACAGGTCAAAGTAAAGAAAGTAAAACCAGAACCTTCAGATGAGGTGGACGGACATGAGAATGGTGACGCTGAGGTGACTGAGAAGAAGAAGAAGAAAAAGAAGAAGTCCATGGAACCAGAACAAGCACAGGCTGAAGAAGAACCTCCAGTCAGTGAGAAGAAAAAGAAAAAGTCCATGGAACCAGAAGCAGAACAAAGCGAAGAAGCACCCGCGAGTGAAAAGAAGAAAAAGAAGAAAAGACAATCTCAGGTCCAAGAAGAATGAGTCACCTAGCGTTTAAAAATATATACAGACATACTGTGTTCGTTTTGTTTTAATTGTTCTGTTTAGTTCCTACCACGTGTGCATTTATTCATACATTTGTTTTTCCATAGAACTGTCGCCCCGAAACGTTTAATTTCTTATCATTGTTATGACACCGGTTAAGTATTTTTCTGTATACAGTAGTAGATTGTGATACTAAAGTATACCATCAGTATATTTTGTTATATTTTTATATTTGACGTAGAATTTAGCGTAGGAAGCGAGAAGATTCTACCTCTCAGTGATTCGTGGTAAGAGACCTTATTTCATGTGAAATAAGGATTAGTTTTCTGTGAATTAAAACGTATTGAACAGAGTGCGCGAAGATCAGAATGTCTTTAGGTGATTTTATCAATTGTAAGGTTTTATATTCGATGTTAGTGTTGCCACATCTTAAATATTAGATGTAATTTTATTAAAGGAAAGGCTTTATACATTTATATACAAAACAATGGTTTATATTTTTCATACTCCACGTGAGTTTATGGAGAAAAATTTGATTAAATGGTATACTTTAATGATTTAAAATGTTATAATTTTTTCCGTTGTGGCAACACTATCATAACTGTAGTCGACGGATATTTTAGCTTTAAGTAAAGTAAGTATGTTTCTCGTCAGGGAGATGTTTATTAAAGATTTAATTTGATAAATTCAGTGTTTTATTTAAATAAATGAGAGTGGCTTAATGTTATGAGATAGTATTACTTGGTGATTTATTTAAATTTCAAAACACCTTTGTATAGTCACAGTAAAATGTTTAATTTGTAAGGATATATCTACCTAGTACAACGATTCGTTTCCTTTTCCTGTTGACGTCAATCCAAACAACCTTTCGTCCCTCAAATTACCTCAAGGGTTCGGGTCTCATCCTAAAGACCCTTTCAGGAAGGGAATCTTGCGGATTATCCTCAGGAACGTCCGCGCGGTCGACACCCTGCGGAACTAAACGCTACCATTTGTGAGACCTTTAAATATACATGTGTAATGTGGAAATTTTACAAGGCTTTATCTATTTGTACGGCTTGGTTTCATTAAAGGTTAGCTTAGTTTTATCAGCTTTACCTTGATGCCTTTGGGATCAAGTGAGGTCAGGGTACAATAATAAGAAAAACACATTTCATGTCTTCCCTACTATATCTTTTCTTCCGTTAATGTATTTCTGTTGGAATACCAGAAGTATACCGTAAGTAATGTGTTGATACGAACTGCTAAAAAAGAGTAGGTAAGAACCTACTATTTATTTATTTATTTGTAATTACTAATTTAAATTTCATTCTTAGAGTCCATCTCATTGTGACTACATTGTTAGAAACATTTATAACACTAGATTATCCTGTTCCTCTTTTTTCACAATCACAGCCACAGGAAAATGCTGATATACTCAAATGAAAGTGTACAAAGATTGTGTACAAATAACACGCACCTACATAATATCTACTCACTTGCTTCAATTAGTTTTATTTTTTCATACAGACTGGAGGTGACTTTATCTACAAAAAATACAATCAGGGATTTTTCTTCTAATACTTACAACATGATTAGTTCATATTCAGTGTTAGCAGTTTCATTATATTGTTGATTGAAAATCAATACAAATCAAATACAATGGCGCGATGACGTACACAAACATGCCATTGATGGGATGGCATTCAGCTGTGTTTGACAATTAAAAGGCGGTTAGTGTGTTCTGAAACTATATTCACAACTGAATATTTGAGTTTTTGTTGATTCTTTTTGACTGACGCATTCTCTTAGCTATTGTGTTATTATGTATTTTTATATGAATATACATAGGTACACATACCTAATCTCTCTTTTTCCTAATGAATAGTAGGATCAGTATGATTTTTTTGTTAAACAATATATTGGTTTAGAAAAGCCTCCTGTTTGTTAATATCGCCGGATATGTACTTATAGTGGAGCTTAGGACGTAATTTCCTAAATAACATTACGGAACATTAAACTAACAGATATCGAAGTTTACAAATTTTGGTAAAACTGGTGATTCTGGTCAGGATCACGAAATTTATGAAATAACTACACGGTTAATGATAATAGGTATATTATATATATATATAGGCTGAAACATACCAAGCTGCTAGAAGGGTATTAATAAGGTTTCACGCATCAGGAGTTTGGTATATATACGAGGGGAGGTCAAAAAGTTCGCGGAATGGAGGGGATGGAGGGGGTTGATTTACTCGTCCAGGTAGTAACTTGTTCAACACCTCATTAATAGTATATATACCAAGTTTGAACCAAATCGGGTCATTAACTTTTGAGTTGTTGACCTGCAAACAAGTGAATCGGGAAGAAGTCAGTGAGTATGGAGAAAATTGAACACCGCGCCGTTATTAAGTTCCTCACCAAGCAAGGAAAATCCGCTCAGATAATTTTTGAAGAGCTGTTATCAGTTTACGCGGACTCTGCCCCTGGTAAAACCATGGTTTACAAGTGGCATGGACTTTTTAAACAAGGAAGAGAGTCCATTGAAGATGACGCCCGCTCCGGACGACCGATTGAGGCCACCACACCGAAAATCGTCGCAAAAGTAGAAAAACTTATATTGGAAGATGCCTGGTTGAAGAAGAAACGGCTTGGAGCAATGGTTAGAGTATCTGAAAAAAGCATTTTTAATATCCTACATCATCATCTTGGGATGACTAAGGTCAGTGCAAGATGGATTCCAAGAATGCTCACGCCACTTCAAAAGAGCGATCGTGTCGAGTGTTCTCGCCAGTTTTTGAATCTCTGTGGAGAGAATAAGGACGAAGTTATGGACCGGATTTTTACTGGTGACGAAACCTAGGTTCACCACTATGAACCTGAATCGAAGCAAGAATCGATACAGTGGCATAAAAAAGGCACAGCTCCTCCAAAGAAGTTTAAAGTGTCACAATCGGCCGGAAAGATCATGGCGACTGTCTTTTGGAATACAGAAGGTATTTTGCTGATCAATTATAAAGATCGTGGTGTGACTATAACGGGACAGTACTACGCTTCTTTATTAGATAGATTGAAAGAAGCTATCAAGGAAAAAAGAAGAGGAAAGCTGTCAAAAGGTGTGCTCCTTTTGCACGACAACGCAACAGTCCACACGTGCCATGTTGCGACGGCTGCCATTCACCCATGCGGACTCGAAAAACTACACCACCCACCTTACAGTCTAGACTTAGTCCCCAGCGACTATTATTTGTTTTCAAAAATGAAAAAAAAGCTGCGGTGAAAAATATTTGAGAAGTCAAGTCCGCAATTTCGGCCTATTTTGATAGCCAAGATAAATAATTTTTTTCGAATGTATTAATAAATTATTTGTGAGATCCGAAAAATGTATTAAGGTTAAGGGAGACTATATTGAAAAGGAAAAATAGTTTCGTGTTAAATTTCAACCCCCTTCCCGCTCATTCCGCGAACTTATTGACCTCCCCTCGTATGTAGATTAGGTAAACAATTAATCAATAGTTAATTAGAACAGAATAATAGTAAAATCATTTAATTATTCACATTCAATTCGTACAGTCAAAAAATCTATGAAATATTTCTCAGGTCCTTATATTTATTGTATAAACTACGGTACTACTTACCAATGAAGTCTGTCTGAAAGATTATTATTCATAGTAGATTATTTATTTGACTTTTTGTTGTGAACTTTATAATGTTACATACCTCCAGACCCTGGGAGGTTGTTAATGTTTCTTTCAAAGTACTTTATGAAACATAATAGTTTTATACAACTTTTGCGCTGAATTCGGATTATCTTTGAAACTCTCTAAAATATTGTGTATTCCCTTCAAAACTAACATTTTAAGCTTTACAGGATTAATTTGAGTATTAAATGTAATGGAAAATAAACAAATTTCTAAGTAAATATATTTATATGTATAGGGTGGCGCAAAAGTAAAGACCCTATTTGGTTCAAATATAACATTTTTTCTAAATGAGAAAACTAGATTTAGGTTTTTTTAAATGTATATTTGTGCCATTAAATTTCGGACCATTAGGATTTAAAGATGATGTCTTTTAAATGGTGACCTCCAGAGTTGATACACAAAATTGGTTATGAGTGACGAAGCGCATTTCCCTCTCAGGGCATGTCAATAAGCAGAATACTCGGTTCTGGGGCACTGATAATCCGCGCATTATTCAAGAAACACCTCTACACCCACTAAAAGTTACATCTGGTTTCAACAAGACGGCGCTACGGCACACACAGCGCGCGACACTATGGACTTAGTGAGGGACGCTTTTCCAGGCCGAGTTATCTCTCGTTTTGGCGATTTGCCTTGGCCTGCAAGATCACCCGATTTGACCATTCCAGACTTCTTTCTTTGGGGTTTTTTGAAATCTCGGGTGTATGTGAACAAGCCACAGACTCTCGCAGCTCTAAAAGAAAACATTCGTCAAGAAATAACGAACATATCGCAGGAAGTGTTACGGCAAGTTATGCAAAATGTCATAAATAGGGCTCAAATGTGTATCAACTCTGGAGGTCACCATTTAAAAGACATCATCTTTAAATCCTAATGGTACGAAATTTAATGGCACAAATATACATTAAAAAAACCTAAATCTAGTTTTCTCATTTAGAAAAAATGTTATAGCTGAACCAAATAGGGTCTTTACTTTTGCGCCACCCAGTATATGGAATTCTATTATTATTATTTTATATATTATTCGAGACTGATTTTTCGTGATAACAATAATAGAGGTATTACATATTTTTAGTATTATCTTTCGCAGCCATGTTCAACAAACAGTTAAATTCTTAATGTTTTATGTTTTCTGTATACTGTATATATATTGTTTTATTTCTATGAAATTATAAAAATTTTATGACATGGTTTTTTATTAAGAAACTGATTTATTTTAGAACTATTTGGAGAAAAAAAAATTAAAAGCCTCTGGTGTATGTACCGATAGAAGTTTTACTGGAATTAGGAAGTGTATTAGATGTTTTATAC